ATGCAATTGTGTTAACAATACAGACTCCTTACCAAAACTAGAAATCAATGCAAAGCTTATATGGCTGTGTTTACAAAATGTTTAAATATTCAAGCATCTTAAGCGGGAAATTGTGCCCTCTTTAGAGGGCTCTCCACATCAATTTCATCTGAAGGAGATCATTATTACCTTGTAATATGAGGTACTAGGTGGCAATTACCACATTCTTCCTCATACTGGATTTTCATTTTCATTTCATTTATTTTATGTATTCTCTTTTCATGGTAATGCAACACGAAATGCCACAACAACAATTTAACAAATCCAACAAACACAACAACAAATCCATGACAAGAAGAACAGGAGTAGGATGAAGAAGAAAAAATCTTATAAACTCCTACCCCATTCTTATAATAAAAAAGTTACAAATTAGATGGCCTCACCGACATGACAAAAGATACAAAGCAATGTGAGTTGCAGGGTTATTCTGAGACCAAAAAAGACTCCCAATGTTTGAGCAATGTCCTATAATGCTGGCCCTAGCAACAAGTTCACCGCCAGAGACGAGGTCTGGATGATGCAATTCAAATTTAAAGATGTTATCGAGAGTTTCTGACAGATTAATCTTTGATCAACTGTGAGATTAGACTAAATAAAATTACCCATCTGTGTGAGTAATATGCACAAAAATGATTGCATCAAAGATTTGCTACAGCATGAAGCCTTCTTTCGGTGAACTGATTTTCAAATTGTTATCTGACAAACGTAGTTTTCTTTACAGTGAAAGCCTAAAAGATACGCCTACTAGGGACTATAATTTGACATACATAATAGATCAGTGCAAATCAACAGATTACAGCAATCTTGCTGCTGAATGCAAATCAAACCTGGTGGAATATTGTCTCAATTACATAACGTTGCAACACCTGTGTTACCGTGTCAAAGAATGGTTAAGAAAAAAAAAAGAGTTTTCTATGAACAGCATGACGATTTCCTCACTCAAACTGATAGATTACAAACTACCATGTGGGTGACAGACAGAACAGGTGCAAGCCCCTGCTGTCATGAAGAAGACAACTCATCTGTTTTAATGTGTAATATGTGTAAATAAGAAATGAAAATGCTGTCATTTACTCACCCCCATGTAGTTCCAAACCTGTAGAACTTTGAAGGTGACTAAATGATGACAATTTTAATTCTAGGCAAACCAACCCCATCAAAGAATCCAGATTAAGTTATGATTTTGGTCATTTGTGAGAAAGCTCAAGGGTAATTGAAGGGTGTTCCTGGTGAAAGCTGAATTACACTCATTTGGTATGTAATCAGTCCGTTACCACCACACACACTAATCAGGGCCTGCTGGCAGAATCATAATAGGATAAAAGACAGTAAGTTGAGTATCGCAGGGGAGGTCAAGCAACTTTGAAAGACATGTGGAGCTGAACAAACCGGAACAGCCATTTTTCTATTTATAACTTAGCTGAAGTCATTATATTGCAATATTTGACCAAGAGGTGTGACCATATTTATATATCTTGCCAAGTCAAACAAAACTTTGAAAGACTTTGTTTATTCCCGTTTATTACCATTGTTTAGGCTTAGTGCTTTTCAGTTCCTCGACCTCAAAGAAACAATACTATATACATGAGGTCGAGGAACTGAAAAGCACTAAGCCTAAACAATGGTTTAAGTCTGTGAAGGCATTAATGGGGATGGAAGGAGATAAGAGTGATATGGTGTCTCAGGATCAGAACATCATGCAATATGAGTGTGACAACTTGGCAAAGCACTTTGCTTCTGTGTGGGATTATGCAAGTCACATTTCACCGTCTGAGGAAGAGGTCACCTGCAAGTTATCCAACTGTAGTATACCTCTTTTGAGTATTGGACAAGTTAAGGTTAGACTTCGCAATGTGAAGGCAGCAAAGGCTGCTGGTCCTGATGGCATTCCTCCTTGGATGTTAAAGACCTTTCATGAGGAGCTGGCACCGGTACTATGTGATATCTTTAACACGTGCATGCAAAAGAATATTTTTCCCAAACAATGGAAGGAGGCTATGGTCAAGGCTGTTCCCAAAAAAACAAAGCCCAGTTTTCCAGCAGATTATCGGCAGATTTCATTACTTAGCTGTGTTGGAAAAGTGTATGAAGGAATCCTCAGAGATGCCATTCTGGAGGATACAGTTGCTAAAATTCAACCATCACAACATGGCTTCATGGCGAACAGATCAACTGATACTGCACTGATTCAAATTCTGCAACACTGGCATGAAGCACTCAATAGCAATCCTAAATTGGACATTCATGCTGTTTTTGTTGATTTTACTCTAGCTTTTGACACAGTTGATCATTGTCAACTGCTTTATGCACTAGCTGACATGAATGTCAGACGTCCACTTTGGCTCAGTGTAAGGAGCTATCTGAGTAACAGAGAGCAAAAGGTGAAGTGGGGCTCCTGTGTGTCTAACTCCTACCCAATTTCAGCTGGTGTTCCGCAGGGGGGACTTCTATCCCCTCTGCTTTTTGTCATCGCCATAAACAGCTTGGATTCCCGCCTGCCTCCTTCAGTAATTCCGGTGAAATATGCCGATGATTTAACAATCACTGAATTTTTAATGGGATCCTTACCAGGGTTAGCACAGAAGGCCTTGGATTCAGTGGCGGAATGGGGACATGAATTTTCATTGGCAATGAATGGAGGTAAGACAGTGGACATGGTCATTAGCGCCAGGAAAGACAAAAACATTCCCTGCCCTTCCTCTCTTGTAATATCAGGACATGTAATTAGCAGAGTTTCCACCTTTAAACTACTTGGAGTTCAAATTTCTTCTGATCTGTCGTGGGGCGCACACATTAAGTACATGATTTCAAAGGTGCGTCCTAGAATCCACTATCTCTGTGTTGCTAAAAATGCGGGTCTCCCATGTGATGTTTTAATGAAAATATATTTGACATTTATACGGCCAGTTCTTGAGTACGCTAGTCCAGTATGGGGTGGACTACCAAAAGGTCTCTCTGATGAGTTAGAAAGGGTCCAAAAACGTTGCTGTCGGATAATAGGTGTTCCAACTTCTTCACTCCTATCATTGAGTGAGAGGCGTGACGAGGCCACTATACGCACTTTTACAAAACTACTCAAGGACAGTTCATCACCACTGCATTGTTTCCTGTCTGTGGCTCCAACACCTACTTACCTACTACGCCAGCGTAGAGAACTTATTGTGCTCAGGAGTAAATCAATAAGACATGAACTTTCTTTTATTCCACGTGCTCTTAAACTGTTTTATAAATAACTTACATGTTCTCTTTGTATGAAACCTGATGTATTTCAGGTTTTTCTATGCATCTGTTTTACTGCTCCTGTTTGTTTCTTCTATTTTAATTTTTACATTTTAAATTAGGTACATAGGTTGTTCTGAGTATGTGTTCTGTTTGATACATTTCAGGGTTTTGTCCTTCAATATCCTGCCTTGTCAAACTCTTAAATAAACTAAACTAAATTCCCTGTTAAAATATAAAATACAAAATACAGAAAAGAAGATTCTTCATCAAAGCAGTCAAGTTAAAGCACTGAACTATTTCTTTTGTTGTTATCATGGTGCTGTACAACCACATCATGATGGTAAAGCTGTCCTACATAATTCCTGAAGTCATGGATACAATACTTGTTCTGGAGAACAGATACAAATTCCACCCACATTCACAGGGATCAGCGAGTTTGAACCTCTGATGACTAATCGTAAATGTGCAGGGAACAACACAGGAAAAAATAGAGAGCAACAAAACAGATTAAGTGCTCCAATTTAGTTTGGAGTACAACTTTAACTGTTTGGCCACGACAAACAGAAACAGATTGCCACTAACAAATGACATTTCCTAGTACGTATGTTTGCACAGATATGCACGAGGGATAAATAGTCTTTCTTTTGCAATACCACAAGAGGCAGTGCAATCCTGCAGTACTTCACTGTCGTAAAATTAGATGACATAAATATATCTCATGAATATCAATGTGGCTTTTGAGGAAGCAGATTAGGGAAATGAGAGGCAAATTGAGCAAAGAAAATTCCCTCAAGAGAACGGCGTAATGGAAACTCATTCTGCACTTACAGGGAATTTAGGCTTGTTAAATTTGACGTACCAATGACTTTGTAATGGTTAATTTTGAATAATTAGACAGTTGTGTATGACCTGCCCTTGAACAAAAAATGTACAATCTCTGCATTCACTTACTGACATACATACAGGAACTGGGCAGCACATCAAATCGTGTATTGCTTTGGCTACGGGTATTTCCTGAAAACCCATTACATCATGTTTTCTTTATGTTTTAACTTGCTTATACAGTACTGAAAAATATAGGGTCAGTAAGACTTTTATTTTGAAAGAAGTCTCTCATGCTCACCTAGGCTTTTCAATTTTCAGCCTCATTACTCCAGTCTTCATTGACACATGATCCTTCAGAAATCATTCTAATATGCTGATTTGCTGCTCAAGAAACATTTCTAATTAATGTCAATGTTGAAAACAGTTGTGCTGACTAATATTTTTGGGGACATATTTTTTTCAGGATTCTTCGATAAATAAAAGTTCAACATAACAGTATTTATTTGAAATAGAAATCTTTTGTAACATTACAAATGTCTTTACTGGCATTTTTGATCAATTTAATGCATACCTGCTGAATAAAATATTTTTACTAATCCCAAACTTCTCATTCAGGCAGCATAAAATAGACTGTGAGTGGTAATGGTTGCTCGCTGTGCTGTTTGTAAACATGGCAAAAACTGTTGCTCATCATGAGATGAGTCCTTCTCCATCAATCAGATCCAAACATGCAACAGAAAAAGAGTTTTGCCCTTCTCATCGCATTTAGTATCTCAATAGCACACAGCTGGACAGTCGTTTAACGCCATCGTTGTTGTTATACATTAATTTTAGTTTTGATCTCCTCCCGGCATGAGGTGTATCAGAGACACGGGGGAAATATTAGACAGATTTAAGTGGGCAGTATGTCTTACCAGCTGAAGTGAGGAGGACATGATAGTCTGTGCCTCTTTGTGTCGGTACATCTTCATTAATTTCCTCTTTCTCCGATTCCTCATAACGGTCCCAGTTGGGCTCAAGCTTTCGTCGAGAGAAGGTGTTGTGCTCCTCTACTTCCTCAAAGTTTTCTTTGTTGTCATGGTCATCTTGATTCTGAAAAACAATCAGAAAAATGATGACAGTGAGCAAACATGACACAATACATACAATGAAATGAATACTTAAATACTTATTGATTTTAAATTGGTTTGGTTTCTAATAAACTATTAAAATTACCATGGTAGCGGCAATGCAACATGTAACAGTACTGATAGTTACATGTTAAAGACATTAAAAGACAAATAGTACAGTAACCACTGCCAACACATTATAGTACAGTAATGTTACTACAGAAATACCATAAATTAAGTTTACAATTATTTTGCATTAATCTCATTCAAACAGTGTGACAGTCTCTCTTAATGCTTGTGACATTATTTTATTTTCACATATTTAATATTTATGACATCTGTGTCTAATACCAAATAGCCAGAGTTGTATAGTAATCATTAACTTAGTGTAATTATGCCATTATAGTAACAGTTACTCTGGTATTTCGGCAGAAAAAAATGGTTCGTTGTCATGGAGATTGTTTTGTATGGGTGACACTCACTCGTCGAAACTCTCTAAAGTCTGCGGGAGGTCCATATTCGCGCCCTCTTCCTCTACGATGGTCCCGTTTGCCTCTTCCACGATGCTGGCCCCCTCTTCCGCGACCCCTGTGCTCTCCCGAACTGCCAGTGTCCCCCTCACCTTCACCTCTACCTCCACCTCCTCTTTTCCAATGACCACCCCGTCCCCGACTATGTCTACTCTCCATAGCTGAATATGAAAATAAGAACTAATACCGAGACTGTAATCATGTAACACACCACAACAGTTGTTACATTTAAAAAGAACCCTCTTCAATGGAGAAACGTTACCCCCATTCAAATAGTTCCGCCTAATCATGAACGTGAGATTGTCATCTTTAGGCTGGTCGAACTGGGGGGAAAAGTATGAGTATTATCAGTACGTAGTATCAAAAGTAGGGGTGACACTAGCTCTTTTGAAGGGGCATGTGAGATCTGGTGCTCCCATGCAATCCTGTCATTCCTTTGCATATAATGGACTGTAAAAGGTAGTATAAAGTAAACTATAGTAAACTAGTCCCAAACTAAAATGCACGTTTGAGCTGTTAAAGCAACTTGCAGTGACGTTTCTTAAAATATGTCAGTGTCATTGTTTTGTCTCAAGATGCATATCAGTAATGTTTTTTTTTTTTTTTTATCTAAGGCACGTTTAAAAAAGCTAAATGTCTTTGAACTAAGGCCTAATCCTAGCTTAATCTAAGCCCTGTCTATGAAACTGGGCCAATTTTTATATTACAAGTTTTCTGAAATGCTATGTTAAATATGCACATTTAATTAATTATGCTCTCATTTGCATTAATTTCCAAAATATGAAATCGGAACATTGGACAAAGCCAGGTTCATTCTTTCATTTTGTTATATCTATTTTTTAATCACTCCATAAATCCATACTGTCAACAGGCAGAGAAAAAAAAACATGTTTTTCTAAATAAAAGGTTATAGGAATCTTTTTGAAATAGATATTTTTTTTGTTAAAACCTTGAGAAACTACATAAGAATAAAACTGGAAATTTGGTGTATATACCTGTTATTGAAATGCCTACTGAACAGCCTTTATGACACAAAAAGAACTCTTGAATGTGCATTTTGGATGTTTTCTTTCCACTTGTCTGAAAGAAATGTGCATGAAAAAACAATGCTTTGCCTGTAATGTCTTAGAAAAGTACACTATTTTTATGTTTAAATTTTCTGTTTTTGAAATGTTAAGTCTCTTTGTTCTCTGTTTTCAGATGATCCTTTGCCAAGTGAGCATGAAGAATACAGTGCAACTTTTATCCAGCATTTACTAACCTGTCAGCAGTAACAGGATGGACATGGATATTCAAAATTTAACAGCAAGTGGAAATGTCTCTGCTGTCCTGCCAGCCCCATACAGTCTGTTGGAGGTCATAACCATTGCAACAGTGTCAGCTGTTGTGAGTCTCATCACAATAGTGGGGAATGTTCTGGTGATGCTCTCTTTCAAGGTCAACAGCCAACTTAAGACTGTTAACAACTACTACTTACTCAGTTTAGCTTTCGCAGACCTCATTATTGGCGTGTTCTCCATGAACCTGTACACATCCTACATTCTCATGGGATACTGGTCTTTAGGGAATATAGCATGTGATCTGTGGCTGGCCCTTGACTATGTTGCAAGTAATGCATCGGTGATGAACTTGCTGGTCATCAGCTTTGACAGATATTTCTCCATTACAAGACCACTTACCTACAGGGCTAAACGGACCCCGAAACGTGCAGGCATCATGATTGGCTTGGCCTGGTTGATATCGTTTATATTGTGGGCTCCACCCATTCTGTGCTGGCAGTACTTTGTCGGCAAGAGGACGGTTTCTCCTGACCAATGCGAGATCCAGTTTTTCTCAGAACCCACAATTACATTTGGTACAGCCATAGCAGCCTTTTATGTCCCGGTATCCATCATGACAATTTTATATTGCAAAATTTACAAAGAAACTGAGAAACGCACAAAGAACTTAGCAGAACTCCAAGGATACCCATCGCTGGACAGCCGTGAAGACTCTAAAGCACGGAAGCCAATACTGCAATGCTTTAGCTTTAAAAACAAGAGGGACGGGACTCAAGCGTCATGGTCTTCGTCCAACCAGAGTTATGTAACTAGGACAACATTGCAGTCTGATGACTTGTGGACCAAATCAGACCAGGTCACCACCTTGAACAGTTATACATCCTCAGAAGATGACGAGCAGTCTGTCTCTGAGATGACCCCTCGAGAATCTTTCAAGAACCAAGAATCGACACTCAATAAAAATGGACAGCTGGACTGTTATGAAGACAGCAAATATCTAAGTGATCTTGCAAAATGCTCCCAGACGAACAATAAAAAATGTATGTCATACAAGTTCAAGCCGATCCTTAGTGACATCACCGTTTTGCAAGGTGGTACCGAGACTGAGAGAACAAACACAGATCAATGTCAGTCCTCAGAGCCACAGGCTCCTTCATCCACCTCGGCTTCTACCAAACCGGAAGATCCAAACTTAAAGATCCAGATGACCAAGCGTAAACGAATGGTCCTTATCAAGGAGAAAAAGGCTGCACAGACTCTCAGTGCCATCCTTCTGGCTTTCATCCTCACCTGGACCCCATACAACATCATGGTGCTCATCTCCACCTTCTGTTCTAAATGCATCCCAATGTCCCTCTGGCATCTGGGCTACTGGCTCTGCTATGTCAACAGCACCATCAACCCTATGTGTTATGCCCTATGCAACAAGACCTTCCAGAAGACCTTTTGGATGTTATTCCTCTGCAAATGGAAGAAAAATAAAGGAGAGGAGAAACTGTACTGGTCTGGTCAAAACCATTAAATACAACAGAGATGGCTAACATTAAATTAATTTGAGTTTATGCTGTGCATACAGCACCATATTCCTTATGTACATATTGTTTGAAAATATGATTTGTTAATATTTTATGTAGCTTCTAATCTGTTTTTATTTAAAGATTATTTAACATGTTTACATAGCAGTGTGTATTTTACTATTGCCTAATGTCTAAATGCCAGGGATAGTGAAGACAAAAAATAAAGATATGGACTGTGACGTTTTAATTATAGATACCAAAAACATGGTTAACTTTTTGCGATAGAATGATTTTAAATATTATGTATTGTACGCCTTGGTCATGTCAGTGACACTGCATGCATAGAAACGTAAATATTGAAATATCAAGTGTGCAAAGCAACGTTGTTGTATTATGTTTGCATTAACTAGACAGTGTTAAATATGGATCCGTCACTTCTGTAGAGATACACACAAAAGATTGTAGCTTCACTCCGAATGTAATATCCATGATATGGCAGAGATTCCAACATTACATCATGTGAAATGAAGCAACATTTAAACATCATCACCCATATAATCCCAATGTGCAGTGGTTCATATTAAATAGAAAACGAATCCATATTTGTGGTGCCATGAATTAGATCCCAACTCGCTTGAACATTAACATCCACCACAGAAGCACATTTATGGATGTTAACTGGCTGTTTTCCATTCATGTTGTTTAATAAGTCTCTACTCTTTGTGTTGTGATGACATGCCATTTAATTTGTGAAATAAATGTTTTAAGATGAAATTCACCCAATTAATTGAAACAAATTTAGATTTGCTCTGAAAGTTAGTCTGGCAAAGAGCTCATTCAAACTCATTTCCAATCCGCCGAAATCGAGGCACCACTCAGAAAAGTTGGGGCGGGCTTTACACGATGACGACAGCGCTGGGATTTTGAAGCAGATTTTGTAGCCTACATTACAAAGATGGATGTCACCGTCGAACATCACTCGTTCGAATCAGCTATCGCGTCTGTTTTAAGCGATTTGAATGTTTCCTTTTTGTTAAAAACCGAGCAAAGAACAACACTCGGGGATGTTTCTCCGCCGGTCTGCATACGTCATCTCCTTCATCGCTCTGATTGGTTTTAGGTCTATCCGCGACGTCCGTTGGTGACGCCCCTCTGGAAATGATTTGTCTATGACGCTTTGCCAGACCATAACTCAGTTACAACTGAGAATGGTCTGGTTTTAACCAGGCTAAGGGGTTCCGTCTTCCACTAATGTTTTTAGTCAAACTAAAGCTTTACAACTACCCACAGTCTGACATACTTGCAAAGTTTTATCAGTCACTTATTATCATGAACATGTTTAAATGTTGATCTCATTCTCCACACATCTTACCATGCAAGCAACATGCTGAGAAAAGTAGGCAAATAAGCAAGACGTTAAGGATATTTCCCACCAAAGTTTATTTCCATTCAGTTTAAATAAGTTTATACTTCATAGCTTAAATCGTACACATTTCTCATCTTCATTCACAGTCGTGCACAAACCAAACAAGATATAGTAAATATTATAACCTAGAAGCTTTATTTCAAGTAGTTATGAAACAGAATTGGGGTCAATGTCACCTCCTCAGGTTGGTCTGAAAACGCACAAGGCATCACTGCAAAGATGGAAAGATTTTTTCATCTATCTTGACCCTTCAGCTCAAATGTGCTTTTAAAATAGCCCAGAAGGCTTGTGACAAACTGAGCAAAACAACTACATACAGTGAGTACTAACTTCTGCATCTGACTTTATCAGTGCAACAAAACTGCAGCTATTGCATCAACCCAAAGCACTCAACCGCCAGACAGCCACAATATGTTAAATTTTACTTAAATCTTTCATTCTTGCTTTTATTCAAGTCGTAACGGAGGTGAAACTGCATTGCCCTCAATTCTGAGAAGGAATCATATCTGTGTGATGAATGGTATATGCAGCAGCAGTGAAAGCATAGACTATGTTAATTGCATGACAAGATATTGAAATGTTTCAGCAAAACTGAATATCTCAGTCTAACAATCCCCTCTAGGAATCTTGACCAATCTTTTACTTTCACACTCATTCTACTTTTCAAGTTAAAACATCCTATTTGAGCTCTATTTTTATATTAAAAAAGATTAATTCATGCCTTGCTCTATCTGTACTGGTCTTGTACACTTTTAAATGTTATGTATAGTTTTCAGTGTATCATACAATGATTAAAATAATCTGATTATTAACAATGCAGCTAAAGAAGACAATTGAGCGTGGAAAAGTAGCACAGTGCAAACACAGTCCTGTTTTGTCAAGCATTTCAGTCGAAAAAGAAACGGTTCATTTAATTTTAAAAAAAGAGAAGAAAAAAAGAGAGAAGAAAACCAGTAAAACAGTGTTAAAGAAAACCGACAAAATGATCCCAAACACACGGCACTACCTCCTCTTCAGAGCAACACTTCTGCTGCCTTTGTTCCCTCCGCCAGACTTACTGGAGCCCTTGGAGAACAATTTAGTCATCAATTCAGAAACATCTGGCAATTCTGGGTTAGGGTTCAACATATTCATAGATTGCTCCATTTCCTGCAGGAAAAAATAAATAAAAAAATTGGTTGAATAAAGAAATATACAGTAGATGAGGATGTCCATTTAGCGCATGTTTTGTATTACCTTTCTCATCTCAGGATCATTAGTATTTACCACCTTTGGGAGCAGGACAATGATTAATAAAGGAAGGACCATCATCATGACCTAAGGACAACAAAAACATTTTAAAAGTGAAGTCACAACAAGTATTAGAAACCATCAGCAACACATATGACGTCAAAGAGAATTCATACTATTATAAATGGCCCTGAAAATGTGCATTTGCAACACTGGTAACGCTTTACAATAAAGTTTCCTTATTTCCTTAGTTAAATGATACAAATAAACTAAGAATGAACAATACTTATATAGCATTTAATCTTAGTTCATGTTAATCTCACCATTTACAACTACATTTTTAAGATCAAACATTGTATGTGTTAAAATTAGTTAATGCACTGTGAAGTAACATTCAACGAATAAAAGGTTAATAAATGCTGTGAGAAATATTGCTAATTGTTAGTTCATGCATATAGAGATGACTTACATAGTTAAAGAATAAGTAAACAAAAGAAACCACGATTGATACATTTCCAGTCAAATCACCAAAAATTCAACCAAATGCAACTGATAAAAAAATAATAATAAATAAAAAAAACACACACAGAGAAATCATATGATCATACCATTGGGTTCATCAGAAAATCAGTCCACCCCCAGGTTTCCCGCTTCATGAAGTATGTATGTGGACCACCGGATCTGATCTGAAGAGGGTATGGCTGTCGAAGAACTTCAGAGGTTTTGATGTAATTCACCAAGCGTGCCCTGTGGTTCAGCAACATCTTGATATTAACTGAGGTGTTCGTGACGTGAATAGACAATCATGTTAGAAGGTAGAAGAATTCGAGATGTTAGCTACCTCATTTTCCCTTTGGAGGTAATGTCCACCCGAACAGGATCAAATCTGAAAGATGGTGATACAATTTCAACCACATATGAGCCAGAGGGCACATCGTTGACAGCAAAGCTCCCATCAGTCCTATAAGGCAAATTGATGTGGTTAATTGTGTCATCTTGGCAAAACCTTGTTTAATAAAGGCATGTTTTGAAACCCCTGCACATCCAATCTGAATTTATCATGCCCCGCAAAGACATTTACATATAACCTGCACATTATATTTCACAATAACAAATTAGCAAGACGGATTTATAAAACAGAATGCTTCCAGCAAGATCATTATAATTGAGATTATCATTGGCATTTTTGAGACACGCTGCTGTAAATCAAGCAACACACAATCATATTTACATCGTTCTTTTTGACGTTAGCATTGCTGGCGATATAACTCACTTGAGAAACCCAACATATTCCTCCCCCTCCACCAGGATTCGTGCTGTGGAGATCCAGTCTTGTGTTTTCACTCCAGGAACGACAGCTCTTCCTTCGATTTTGAAACGGTCTCCATTCGACTGAGAACCTGCTACGGGCCCCGGCTCTGTGTCAGAAAAACCCCATGACAACACAAACAGAGCCTGCAACGCTATATATAAATCTAATAGACGTTTAATGTATTGCATCGTGCTTTGTAACACGATATATACGACGTACAATACTGCACAATATTTCACAACGCGTCAATATGAACCACAGGAATAGGACTCAGCTGAAGGAAGTAAACGGTAAGCGGAAATCATAGAATGCAGAGACCGGAAGAACATGTTACACGTGATTATCGTTGAGGCGGGGCTTTTGATGGGAGTTCCGAGTCCGACTCGTTTTCATAAATCCGTTTTTTCCTTCAAACAGTTCATGTTATAAATGGTTTAAACGCCACTTCAGATTATTTACATCATGACATTGTGGTACATCATATTAAATACTCCTAATCGTTCCAGTAAATTCTTATGTAGGCACATATTGTCGTTTATTGCGTTTTATTTGTTCATTTTGTATTACATTGTCTCCCAGTTCAGCTTGTTGCACCCATGACATAATGTACGATTCATTTAAACCCAGTTTAGTGAGTACGTTGATAAATTATTTTAAACCCCATTGAATTCGAGACAAATATTTCCAGTATCGTACTTCTGCTGAGAAATTTAATATAGGGGTTGTGCCTGCACAGGATTTTTGGGAAATATTTCTTATCTTAGTTAAATAACATGTATGTCTATATAAATATTCATATAAACTTCAAGGTGAAAAAAAAAAACATTCAGATTAAGTAAATTTATTTGAAAGTTCATTAAAAGAAAATCACTATGTACACATTACACTCAAATATCCATTCATGATCGGGCAATGGACAACAAAACGCTAATAACTTAAAACTCCTGCAATTCAAGTGCATGACTGAAACAACGTCTAATAAAGGTACACTTACACAATCACATCCACTTAAGCAGATTCACACCATAGCACTACAAGTGCAACAGTTAAAACTTCTGCTTGGCACTTCAGTGAGTCGCCTGATTCCAGAGTCTCATGGAGTTGATTATGTGCCCCTAAGCAAGTCCACTTCAATGTGAAGCAGTCATTCAGTGCCTGCAGGAAGAGTTCCTCCTCCAGTGCTGAAATCGGAGTGTCTGAATTGTTCAGTTCATCTATCCCCAATTCACCACAGCCTACCGAGCTTCAGATTCACCAGCTCCAAGCCGATCAAAGAGCTTAAAATGCACCAAGAGTTTGTAGTGGTTTTCTCCTTAGTGTGCTACATTGATACATCAGCGCAGTTGTGACAAATATGATTCTATAACCTGCGAAAGAAAAGCAAAAGATGACCAGTAAGAGGAAAAAGGTTAAACTGATTTTTGTAAAGTTGCTTTTATTTATTTTTTACTTCATTAAGAACACTTCACCTTTGCCGTTTCACCTACAGTTCCTGGAACTGAACTTAAGTGACTCTTTCCCTCCCACAGTTCAAGCAGCATTGTCTTCATTGCCTGAACATTCCTGCTGGATGCAAACATGTTCGGTTACACCTCCCAGAAAACATTTATTAGATGTTCTGCCATTTTATTTCCGTATGTACATATAAATATAAAAATTAAGCACCTGTCATTTGAACAGCCATCACGCGTGTTTGTGGAGAGCTCAGACCACCAATTTTTTATGATAGATTGAACCCAGTGTAAAGCTACAATGAGGTGTCTGGAAAAGATTCAACAGTTGAAAAGATTAATTATTTTGTGCAGAAAGCAACAAATGTATATTACAATTATATCTATATATACTGTATGTGTGTGTGTGTTTGTGTAAAAAGGTCAACAATGTATAAAAAAGTTCAAAATACTTACTCTTCATATTTAGCGTTAAGAATCATATTTACTTGTGGTAAAAGGTCAACACAACAACCTATTGAAATGCATGGCTGTTCTTCCTGAAGACTATAGAGGGAGAAACTGGTATGAAACAACATGTCTGTCAAATCTATAAACATGTCTATCAAACTTTGAGTTTACATGTTGTGGAAAAGTTTTAAATACACTACCTTTTAGTAAGTACAGGCAAGCAGTCAACAAGCACCCCTGTGTCTTGTATTCTGGGGAAAAAGTGAAAATGAGTTACCAAATTACCATGGTATTCTATTGACGACACATAAAATGTAGAATTGCAAGCATCAATATGCCAAAGCAAAAAGCCAATTCGTCATACTGTAAAGACAAATCTATAGATATCAGCAATATTTCATTTACACTACTGTTTAAAGGTTTTTTGGAGTTGATTTTTCCCCCATATTTTCGAAAGAAGTCTCATGCTCACCAAGGCTTGATTTATTTGATAAAAAATACAGTAAAAACAGTAATAATGTAGAATGATTAATCTATTTTAATTAGGGCTTGTTGGAAACAAGCGCCCATTAACCATAAATTAATTCAAAATGGCGAACGTCACCAACAGACACCACACATCAGATGTGTGGAAGTATTTTATCAAGGATGACAAAAAAATCGTAATTTGCCAACTCTGTAAGAGGCCATTCACATATCGCGCCTAAAAACGCTCTCCTCCTTTCCACAAGCGATCGCGCTCCCATGGCGTTTGTCGTTGCTATGCAACCATGAACTGTGCTCTCTCCATGATGACGAGGAAGTATCAGAAAAGGATTAATGATTTCAAGCCCTTGCATTAGCTTTACTACTAGATATATTTATGGAGATGAAAAATAAAACCTGCACTGAACAGCTATGATCAGCTGTTCGGCCGAGCTGTCGATGTTGTTACGGAAATGCAAGCTTATCGGTTGGTTTTTGTCTCATGACCTGCGGTGCGCTTGCGGCATTCTGAAAAGTTTAGATGTTTTCATCTCGCCGAGGCATATGCGCGCCTGTAAAAACGAGCGCGCCGCACCACATGCGCGTCATTTGAAATAACAAACTTGAGCGATATGTGAACGGCCCCTAAAAGCGGACATTGTGTCTGTAATGTAAGGCAAGAACAGCTATTTATTTGGCTTTACTCCGTTACATGAAAATTAAAATATGTAATGTCATAATTAATGTTTTGAGAGTTTACTTATGTAATTGTTGCATTAGGCTATGAATTAATAAACATTTATTGTTAAGAACTATTTCATGTCTTTTCATTTACAGTAGCATGAACCAGAAGTAGTCGAGTAACTCGAGTATTGTTTTGATAAGAAATCGACAAGCAGAAATCAGTAACGTTAGTCGTGCAACACCTAATTTTAATACATATTAAAAAGCATTTTAAAACTCCAGTCTTTAGTATATGCTAATTTGTTGCTCAAGAAACTTTTCCTACCATTTTCAATGTTGAAAAAAAGTTGTGCTGCTTAATATTTTTACATTTAATAACCATGTAAAAGTCTGTTTACTGTCTCCTTTGCTGAATAAAAGGATTAATTTTTCAAAACAAAATTATGGTAGCGTATAGAAGTGTATATTTTGTGTCATTTTGAACAATTATGGTAAATGTCAAATTGCTAACCTGTTCAAATATGCCACTAATTCACTTGCGTTTTTCCGCCAAAGAGTCAAAGCAACATTCAGCCTGAGATTCCTTCCAAAGAGCACGTGAGTCATTGCTTCATGGTCCTTTGATAACTGAAATTCAACAAATGATTAAGTTAATACAAATAATACAGTTTTCTGATAGACCACACATAACAGATGCCCCCAAAATGAAGGGTGCACCAATTGATCAGTTGCCGATCGGAAGAACCAATTTTTCAATGGGCAGCTAAAATTACTTCACTATATTCACCGGTCTGGCAGTTCTACCAGGTGTCTGAAAAGGACAATACATTTGCAACATCATTGAGGAGAACGGAGACGTTGCAACACTACAGCAATGACAGCTAAGAAACTAAGGCTGAGTGATTTTAGGGCATTTCTTTCCTTCACAGCAGTGCGCTTTTTCATTCCTCCCTAAAAGCCCAAACTTAACATCCAAATCAGCGATTGTCATAAAATAAAGTCTACTGCTAAACTCCAGGACGTGCTAGATACAATTAGTTTTAAATTTGCATTAAGCCATGAAATTGATACTGTGTTTCCCAGACGGCTTTCCGTGCGCGTGCTCTGAGATGGAGCAACAAGGAACACGGATGAGCAAAGTGATCGCATTCATGCAGAAAACACACAGAAATATGTAAAAATGCCTGTCTTGGTGAGTATTTGCTAAAACACCGTCAGTTATGTCTTAAGTGAACATAAACAGTATGTGTAATGTCGCATGTGTAACAGTATATTGGATTCATGCAATCGGTCTTCAAGTGACAGCAGCCTAATATTCTTGTGCCTTCTGTGCAATTAATGTTAATCAAACCAGAAAAGACAGAGAAAATCACTCATTGCTCTTTAGTAGATTAATATACGTTCTGTTGACAAAGACTGTTCTGTTTTTTATAATTTTATCATTTATTTCTCCAAAATAGGAACTCCTGCACACTCTCAGTAACCTGACTCCGCCAGATGGATTTGCTCCGCATATCCATCTGGAAACCTTCCGTTGAAGTAGTTTTGGTAAGGGGCGAAAATACTGGTTAGCTGATTGGCCTATGTTGGTGATAGACGGGCCAAATCAACCAATCAGATCAACGAAGCATATGACGTACTAACACTATATTCATCAGTGAAGGTCGTAAGACGGAAATGTTGCCGCTAAATTAAAGTTTTATTTGAAAGTACTGATAGTGTGCGGGAGTTCCTATTTTGTAGATTGTCGACCAATCTTGGTCTTCCTTTCCTACGCACCTATCACCTACAGGTGTGCGATGGCGTTTGTTTATTGATCATTTATTTCTCAGGAATTGCTATATTTGTTCAGCTCTAAGCGATTCCTAATCACCTCTAGGAGAGGGAATGGAATATGTTGCACATGCTGCTTGCCAATAAATAAATAGTTGTCAATTCATGATACTTTCTCATCTCTTATTTTTTTATAGTTTCATTAGCATTATAAGCAACTCTTATAGTATTATTTATTTCAGTGATCGGTATCATTGATCGTATCGACCAATACTGCTTCTAGTGATCGGTAATCTGCCCCAAAAATACTGATCGGAGCAACCTTTCCAAAAGTAGAGGGGATAAAGATATCATTATAACAGGTGGACAATCATGAATAAGAATCAACACAGGAAATTTTACAGAACACTAGCTTAGAATGACACGAACAGTCAACACAACAGCACAAAAACTGGCATTAGCATTCAGCTTAACTCACCTCAGTGAAATAATCA